CCAAGTAGTTGGGACTAGCAGTGAGTACCACCACATCTGGCTACTTTTTAAAATCTTTTGTAGAAACGGAGGTTTCACTATGTTGCTCAGGCTAGTCTCAAACTCCTGACCTCAAGCGATCCTTCCGCCTCAGCCTCTCAGAGTGTTGGGATTATAGGCGTGAGCCATCGTGCCCGGCCTAATTTTTCTGCTGTTTTAAAATGAAAAGTTTCCTGTTCATCCCCGCCCCATATGGCAGGGGAGAGAAGGGGACTGTATCCTGCCCTGGGCCACTATCATATCACTATTTGGAGGCCATGTGATTGAGATCCCATGCCTTGGATGCCTCTTGAATAAAGTTAGTATCATCTTTCGCTAAGAATGAATGAATAAAAGACGATGACAAGAGAAAATTAGCTGGACGTCGTGGCGCACGCCTGAAATCCCAGCTACTTGGGAGGCTGAGGCAGGAGAATTGCTTGAACCTGGGAGGCGGAGGTTGCAGTGAGTCTAGATCATGCCATTGCACTCCAGCCTCGGCAACAAGAGCAAAACTCTGTCTCAAATAAATAAATAAATAAATATTTAAAAAATAAAACACTAAGACTTCTTTCTTGCTCCCACCCTTGTTCGCACTCTGGCCCTCTCACTGGCTGGCTGTCCTGTGGTGAGATGCTCTGTGGAGGGACCCACGTCACAAGGAGGGAAGCCGCAGTACCATAGCCCACAAGGAACCAAATTCTTTTCACGACCACATGAGGGAGCTTGGAAGCAGATACTGTCCCTGCTGACACTTGAGCTGACTGCAGCCCTGGCTGTCACCTTGATGGCTATCTATAAGACATCCTGAGCCACAGGGCCTAGCTAAGCCTGTCTGATTCCTGCCCACAGAAACTATGAGATAGTTCATGTGTGTTGTCTTGAGCTGCTAAGTAATTTGTAATGCAGCAAGATAACTAATACACCTCCAAAATGAAGGCAGCATCCGCAGAAGGAGGAAGAACTAAGAGCGGATAGATGGTACCTGTGATGGGGGCCACTGAGTCACAGAATCTCCCGGGGAAGAAGGAAACAACCCTCTTCCTATCCCCCTATTTAATGCTGGGATCTGCTGGCCTCTGCTGTAGTAACAGGGAACTATCCCCCAAGAGGTCCCTTCCACTCATAATCAGCTCTAATTGCAAGAAAGGCCTTTCTGGCTGGGTGCAGTGGCTCACACCTGTAATTCCAACACTTTGGAAGGCTGAAGCAGGAGAGTTGCTTGAGTCCAGGAGTTCAAGGCCAGCCTGGGCAACATAGTGAGACCCCATCTCTACCAAAAAAAAACAAAAACAAAAACAAAAATTAGCCAAGTGTGGTGGCACACACCTATAGTCTCAGCTACTCAGGAGGGTTGAAGTGGGAGGATCTCTTAAGCCCAGGAGGTTAAGGCTGTAGTGAGCCATGATCACACAGCTGTACTCCAGCCTGGCAACAGAGCTGAGACCCTGTCTTTAAAGAAGAAAAGAAAGTAAAAGAGATGGGAGGAGAGAGAAGAGGAGGGGAAAGACCCTGCTACCTGGAACACAACCTTTATTCCTGTAACCTTACCCCCTCCCCACCAACTGCGATTGTCCTGATTCTGCCCTTAGGACCACAGAGAGCAAGCCTGATTTCCTCTTTTCAGCATGGCATAAACATGTAAGTATGGGTTCAAATCCCAGCTCTGCCACTTACAAGCTATGTTACCCTGAACAGATCCTGTAACTCTTGAGCGCATCATCTGTAAAATGGAGACAACAGCACCTGCCTTATAGGACTGTGTTAGGCTTTAAGATAAACTCGTAGTGTTCTTAGCCCAAGTCTTGACTCACAGCAGGGGCTCAATATTATTCCCCATGACTATTATGGCAGATTACACACGCCTGAAATTTGTTGACTCCTCCCTTCAAGACAGGGGGTCTTGTTCCCCTCCTCTTGAATCTGGGCAGCTTCTCTCACTGCTTGACCAATAGAGTGTGGTGCAAGCGACCTGTACTAGTTTCAGGGTCCAGGGTTTAAGAGACTTGGAGCTACCACTCCCGTCTCTTGAAACTCTCACCTATATGACCTGAGTCTAATTGCCCTGAGGCCACCATGCTGAAGAAGCCACATGTGGCGCTCTGGTCAACAGTTCCAGCTGTGCCCAGCCTCCAGCCATCACTGCCAAAGTGCCAGATGTGTGACTGAAGCCAGCTTAGATTCTCCAGACCAGCCCATCCACCAGCCGAACAGCACCGAGTGACCTCAGCTAATGACACATAAAACAAAAGAATCACCCAAGTGAGCACTGCTCCAACTCCTGACCCACAAATTCAGGAAAGAAAATAAAAATGGTCGTTGTTTTAAGCTGCTAAATTGTGGGTAATTGGTTGCACAGCTACAGATAACTGGGGCAACCACTGCCAAATATTTGAAGGTAACTGTTGCCTTCCAGATCGAACCTGCCTCTCTCTCTCAGCTGATGCTCACATGATAGGGTTTTGGGCCTTAGGACCCCTGTGATCAGCTGTCTTCTGGACAACGGAAGCCCAACAATGAACACGGCCCTCAGGGCAGAGGGGGATTCTACCCAACTATGCCAGTGAGGACTCTATCTGGAATAATTTAAGCAAAAAAGGAAATGATTGGCTCATAATGGCTTCAGGCATGGCTGGATCCAGGTGTTCCAAGATATTGTCAGGCTCCATTTCCTTTGTGATTATTTTATTTTTGGGCTCTTCTCACAGAGCCAAAAAGCTTTAGAAACTCACTCAACTTCACTTCCTCTCAGGTTCAAGTCCAGATGGAAAGACCATCTGCCATTCTCCCAGCATTCCCAGCAAAAATCTCACTGATTCTCTTTGGTTCGTGGCTGTGTGGCCCAATCAGAGCCAATTCCTGTGGCCAGGTAGGCAGAATGGCCTAGGAGCTCACGGATGGGACATACTCCATCAAAATCATATGGACTGGGAATAACGAGGGGTGATTCTTCAAAGGAAAACCAAGGATATCATCACAGCAGAAGGACGAGTGGATGGCTGGGCAGCAGACCTATATGTATCCACCCCTGCACCTAAAAGGAGAATGAAAAACATAACCTCTCTCACTCTACATGGCATACCTCTCTTAATGCAGCCCAGGGCCGCAGCATCACCTCACACTGATGACTCACACCAGATATTCGGGGGGATGTTTTTCCTCATCCAGTATTGCTTGGTTTCACTCCCTCATCCCCTGCCAAGTCAGGGATGCAAACGTGCAGGTGGGTCCTCCCTCTCCACCTCTGTCCCAAGCACACTGCGGCTTCTGGGGGCATGGAGAAGAACAGACTAGGCCTGTGGCCTGCTCCACCTTCCCTGAGTCACTATCCCTCCCTCCCCTCACAGAGTCAAAGTGATTCAAAGGAGACAGCTCAGGCCCACAAGCAAGTTTTACCGCCAGCATGGCTGGCACAAACCCAGGGCTAGAACCGATGCTTTTGAGGGCAAAATAAGCTCTTCTGTTTCTTCACAGAGTTGGATTGTTTGCCTTGAGTGGATAGGTGACCATCTGAGTTATTAGCAACCAGGGATTTGGTATGTAATACTGTGCATACATAAATAACAACAACAAAATCGGCCCACTGCCCAGAGAGCTCTCAATCCACAGAGCTGCCAGACGTCATGAGATTTCAAAAGATCTTGGCTCTAAAATCAGAGTATGTTTGGATACAAATTCTAGTACAACCCAGTCAACTGACAGATGAGTAAACCAGGGATCAGAAGAGTCCAGGCGTGTAATCGCCCCAAGGTCACTGAGCAAGTGAATGGCCGAGTGACCACTGAAATTTAGTACATCTGAGAGCTCACCCCTCCTGCCCTGTGCGGTGTTTTTACTTGAGTGAGCACACAGGTCCCAGGGTGGTGCAGAGGTGTTTATTTTCATTTTGTAGTCGGCCTTCATACAAGGTGGGGGCTGGGAAGGGAAGAACAATCCAGGCCATTACCCTCATGAATTCATTTGACAAATATTTACTAAGCATCTACTGCAAACTTGGCCCTGTGCTGGAGGCTGAAGACACAATTCCAGAGGCAGGCGATGACTGCCCTTGGCGTTTCCAGTGGTCAGGGGTTGGTGAGGAGGGGCAGAGACACCAATCCAAGAGTCCCCACAGTTTATACATACCACAGGCGTGGAAAGCGCCAGGAGGGGAACGAACAGGATGTTTACCAGCACCTCCAAGGGCAGCCACAGTCATGGGGGCCAGGACAGGGTCCCCAGAGGAAGTGAGATTCGGCTGAGCCAGGAAGACGTTTCCACAGGAACTTACAGTAAGGGTTGCAAGGACAGCCTGTCCTCCCCGCCCCCGCCCCACCACCTCACTAAACTCCCACTGCAGCAATCAGCATTTCCTAAGCCTGCCAGGAAGCTTCCAGTAACCGCTTCCTGACTCCTAGCATGACACACTTCGGGCTTTCCGGGGTTGATGATCTAAGACCCTTACACAGCGCCAGACACGTGCAGACAGGGAGGCAGGATGTGCCTCTCCAGACAGGAATCTGGATGCCACCTGGGCTCTTCCCCTCAGCCTCCACAGGGGAAGAACATTCTTGTGGGGGTTTTCCCTTCCAAATGTCTCAGGGCGATTCCAGTGTTCCCGCTAGTTCTTCCCTTCCCAGGCCAGAACACAAATCCTTCCCCCTCCCTGCCTGGCAAACACCTTCTTACCCTCAGGCCCAAGGCAATGGCCCACCTCCTCCCAGGCTGGATGGGGTCTCCTCCTCTCTGTTCCCCCAGCCCCTGAGCTTCCTGAGGACCAAGCTTGTGGCTTCTTGTCCTTATTCTCTCTCCTTGGTGTCTCTATGTTAGAGGACCGTCAGCATCTGCTGGGGCCTGGTCGCATTCACCCTGCTCTGCCACTCACTAGCTGTGTGACCCTGGACAAGTAACTTCTCTGGACCTGCAGTTTCTCCTCTCTACGATGAGAATACGGGAGAGTCCTTATCTTATGGGTTGTTACAGAATGAAGTGATATCTCACACACAACACACTTCCTACGGTCCCTGTTGCACGCTCAAGTACTCAACATGCAACGGATACGTCATCAGTAACAACTCCACGGGTTTACTGTGATGCTGCACAATTATTAAGCCTTGACTGCCGCAGAGTTGTAACCTGTCTGCACTTCCAACCAGTTTTCCACGCAAGCAGCATTCCCAAGTCCCGCTTTCACCCGCGCGCTAACGGCTCAGGTTCGAGTACACGACAGGAGGGAGGGAAGCTGTGCATACGGTGGGGGCGCACGGCGTGGGCACCCGGTACACCGAGTCCTCCCGGTACACCGTGTCCTCCCGCTACACCGTGTCCTGCCGCTGCACCCAGGTCCTTCCGCCCCGTGGCGTCCCCGGGGCGCACGTGGGCGGGCTTCAGGGAACTGACCTCCCGCGGTCCGTGTGCAGGCCGGGTACGCCCGGCCCGGTGCGCGTAGCCGGGTGTTTAGCCCGGAGCCGCGAGTGACTCAGCGCGGGGCGTGTGCAGGCAGCGCCCGGCCGGGGCGGGGCTTTTGCACTCGTTCCGGCTCTTTTCAGCTATAAACACTGCTCGCAGCGCTCCGCTCCACCACGCCTCCTCCAAGTCCCAGCGAGCCCGCGTGCAACCTGTCCCGACTCCAGCCGCCTCTTCAACTCGCCATGGATCCCAACTGCTCTTGCGTCGCCGGTAAGGGGCTGGGGATGCCAAGTATAGACTGTAGCGCTAGAGAAGCAATTTCTGACCCCTCTTTCTTTCTCTGATCACTCAATTTCAGGACAGGAGTTGCTCCTTCCCAAAGCGTTTTAGGGTATCTTTCAATCCACTCTAGGTTATTCGGAGCCCTCTTTTTACCGTTAAGGAGATCTGAGTTAATGGCTTGCTCAAATTCCCAGGAATCGGTTGTGGACAGAGGAACTCTGCCCCGGGCTCTTAGCACGCCGTCCCACGTTCAGGTATCCAGGGACCGTTATCACCTCTGTCTTTTCTCCTTGCAGGTGACTCCTGCACCTGCGCCGGCTCCTGCAAGTGCAAAGAGTGCAAATGCACCTCCTGCAAGAAAAGTAAGTGGGATCCTCTCTTTCCTCTAACCCCTCACTGTCCTCCCAGCCTGTCCCCTCTCCACCATCCTCAGGGGAATGAAAGCAGTCTGGGGATGCCCCATTACGCGGAAGTTGTTGCCTCCTCAGTGATCCTTATCAGGGAAAGCAGGAATCCTTATTACCTGTGTCCCTAGTACTCATCTCTGCCGCCTCCGCTCTGCCTCCAGGCTGCTGCTCCTGCTGCCCTGTGGGCTGTGCCAAGTGTGCCCAGGGCTGCATCTGCAAAGGGGCGTCGGACAAGTGCAACTGCTGCGCCTGATGCTGGGACAGCCCTGCTCCCAGATGTAAATAATGCGACCTCTACAAACCTGGATTTTTTTATGTACAACCCTGACCCTGATCGTTTGCTGCATTCCTTTTTCTATGAAATAATATGAATGATAATAAAACAGCTTTGACGTGATTCTGCCTCTGGTTTCCTTTATATGCCTTAAAAATAATGGACTGGGTTGAGCGATGGAACTGAGAGGGCTCTACCTGGGCTGTGGATGGAAATGTGAGCCGCTAAGAAAGAGTGCATTCTAGCAAGCCAGGCTACCGCACCGAGCTTCATCTTCTGTAAAACTGAATGGCGTTGTGCCAGATCGTATAGGGGCAGGAGGGACACATACGTGATCACTTTCAGTTTCATGTCAAATATGGCACAGAAACTTCTCCATTCCTCATTTTCACTTTCTGATTTCCCTGCCCAACTTCAGTTCTTCGTGGGATTTTAGACTTGAAAGTGACTACAGAGGGTGAAATCCAGCTCCCCAGTGGCTAGAATCTGACATCCGGTTTCCCAAACTCCCTGTGGTGAATGACCAGTTTTGTTTTCCATTAGTCACAGACCTAAACTCTGGCAAAATAATGAGTTAATAAGAAAATGAACGCTTAAAGGACACAAAATACAAAGACCGTTTTTTAGATTCAACAGGAAATGTTCAACAAATATATGGAGAACAAATTAAAATGGGAAAAATAAAAGAATGATCAACACTACACATTTGTCCAAAGTTGTGTGTTGCATCCTGGTAACAGTTCTCAGACTAGCCCCAGTGTGTGGCTGGCACACCCTGAGCAGCACTGATCCAGACATCCCCACAAGGAACCATCAGGCTTGTCCTGCCCAGTGTCACTGACAGGACACTTTCAGACCCCTGAGAGCTCCCCGTTTTGCCTTGGTTCTGAATCTTTGTAAGTTCCTCCCAAGGTCAGGCTGAAATTACTTCTCTCAAATTTCAGTCGTTGGCTACTTAAACCAGCAAAGTGGCTGGGGATGTGGAGGGAAATGCCCAGCATGTTCCCAGCAAGATGCAGTGTGTGTGATCACGGGTTGCAGATGAAGTTCTTCCTGTCTGCCCACGCAGGGGTGATGGCATTCAGCAGTTTAGAGGGTGTGGTGCCGCTCATTAGAAAGGAGTGAAGCTCTGAGTGACTTGTAATTAAAGCCAACGGTTAGGCCCCTGGCTATGTGGAGGGAATGTTATTTGAAGTTCAGTCAAAGAGGACGATGAGTCCCTTGGCCCAGGAATCAGGAGCACACTTGCCTGAAGGTGCTCCTTATAAAGGAGTTTTAGAAGGCAGCCTGTGCCAAGGGCATGGGTTTTCATGTCAGGCAGTCCTAGTTCACAGCCCATTTTGCCACTTACTGGCTGTGTGGCCTGGGCAAGTCACTCAACCTCTCTGAGCCTCAATTTCCTCATCTGTAGAAAAAAGATGGTATCCCTATTTATGGATTAAGTGAGATCTTGGCCTGGCTCCTGGCTAGGGTTTAATAACCATTAGGATCACTCTGTTTACATGGACTTTGTTGGAGACAGAATCTCTCTTGATAAGCTCTTGGGGAAAAACGGGTCTGGGAAGAATTAGTCTAGGTTGGAGGCTGGGGAGTGGAATGAAGTTTTCCTGACTGTGTACCCGGGGGAGGGTGGATGACTTCCTGCACAAAGCCCTCTGGGATAAAGATGCTGCCACAGCATTTGAACAAACGTAAGAACCATTCTCATTTTTCCTATCATTTGAACACCCCATGAGCCAGTGAAAGAGTGAACGTGCAGGGACGAAACTGATTATGTCATCTTCCAGAGTGGTTAAGCAACCTGCCCAAGGTCACACAGCTTAGAAGTCAGAGGCTGGAACTTTCACTATAGCTGGCCTCTCATCTTGGCTACAGTTGGCAGATCATGATGTCACCGGGCTCTAAGCCCTGCCTCTCAGAGTTCAGAGCTGGGTCAGCCCTTGGTCAGTTAGCCCAATTGTGTCCCTGGCTTGAGAGGTGGCATACTGAGGCCAAGAGAGGTCACAGAGCTATGCAGATGGCATGACTGCCAGCTCAGCGCTCCTTCTACTGCTGCCTCACTACCAGATTTTCAGTGTCCTTGTTTTTCACGGAACATGGTGACACAGGGTGGTGATTGAGGGCATTAAGATGCAGTCAGCATGCATGGCTGCAAAACCTAGCTCTGTCACTTATACCTGAGTGACACAACCTCTCTGTGGCTCAGTCTCCTCCACTGTAAGATAGGCTGAATAATAGGGTCTGGCTGGTGACAGCAAATGACTTAATACATGCAAAGAACTTAGAATGGCACTTGCCATGTATCAAGCAGACTACAATATTAGCTATGATTTTACTTTATTTTGTTATTTTATTTTATTTTATTTTATTTTTTTGAGACAAAGTCTTACCCTGTCACCCTGGCTGGAGTGTAGTGGGGTGATCTCAGCTCACTGCAACCTGCACCTCCTGGGCTCAGGTGATCCTCCCATCTCATCCTGTTGAGTAGCTGTGACTACAGGCACATGCCACCCCGCCTGGCTAATTTTTATATTTTTAGTAGCAATGGGGTTTCATCATGTTGGCCAGGCTGGTCTTGAACTTCTGGGCTCAAGTGATCCACTAGCCTCGGGCTCCCAAAGTGCTGGGATTGCAGACATGAGCCACTATGCACAACCTAGCTATAATTTTATTATCTTTATTCATAGCATAGGGACGTTTTTCTACCTCCAGACCAATAAGCCAGGCCTGCTGTTCCCAGCCATGTGACCTCTGCATTCCTCATCAACTACCTGAGCATGTTAACTGTGGTCCGGAGAGTCTTCAGTCTCCCCATGAAATTGTGATCAGCACTGGATACAGAAAACCATGAGCAAGACGGTCCACGCCCTTGTGGCACATACAAATGGATGCCTGCCATATCTGCTACCACCTACATCACAATTTTACTTAACAATTCTCCTTTAAATGATTCATATTTTCCAACATGTATTTGTATTACTCATGGTTTCCCCCAAGACACAGAACCAATAAAATGTCCCTAGATCGATAGTGATAAAAAGAAAGCTTTAAGAAATTAGCTGATGTGATTGTGGGGATGGCTGGTCTAAAATTTGCAAGGCTGGCTGGCAGCATGGGAATTCTGTCAGAAGTTGATATTATAGTCTTTCGTCTGAAGGTGGTCTACAGGTAGAATTCCTTTCTCTTCCAGGGACCTCAGTCTCAGTTTTTCCTCTTCAGGCCTTCAACTGATTGGATGAGGCCCACACACATTATGATGAGTAATCTGCTTTACTCAAAATGTATTGATTTATTTTATTTTTTGCAACAGAGTCTCGCTCTGTCACCCAGGCCAGAGTGCAGTGGTGCAGTATCAGCTCATTGCAACCTCTGCCTTCTGGTTTCAAGCAATTCTCCTGCCTCAGCCTCCCAAATAGCTGGGATCACAGGTATACACCACCACGCTAATTTTTGTATTTTTCAAAGAGCAGCTAATTTTTGTGTTTTATTTAACAGATTAAGCGGCTAATTTTTGTATTTTTAATAGAGAAAGGGTTTCACCATATTATCTAACTCCTGGCCTCAAGTGATGCACCCACCTCAGCCTCCCAAAATGCTGAGATTACAGGCATGAGCTACTGCGCCCAGCCAAAACCTACTGATTTAAATGGTAATCAGATCTAAAAAAGCACTTTCACAGCAACATCTACATTAGTGTTTGACCAAGCAACTGGGTATGATAACCTAGCTAAGTTGACTCATAAAACTAACCATTGCAGTCCACCACTTGTTAATTTGGCAGACATAAACATCTCCTTAAACTATACTTAATGTTAAAACAAGGTCATACCTCCACCTAACGTGAGGCAACTGTCCTGTGTATGCCTGAAATTACACAAACTCTCTTCCCAAAACTGATTGCAAAATCCTTGAGGCATGTTCCTTGACATCCTATAACCTAAATAGTATGATATAAAGTTAGCAATACTTAAATATTGTGATGTAAGGTTAGTACGTCCCCTGTTATATGACAATGGGATAAGAGACGGAAGAAAACAAAAATATTTGCCGCACATGCGCGCGCACACACACACGCACACAGTTATAACAACATAATGAAGAAATATCCATAACAATGACATTCCTCATTTCTATACCTGTAACTGGTCACATGGTCATAGCTGCTATTTATAGCTTCCTTCTTTTACAACCTAAAAGAGGTGTAAACCTCTTGTTTCAGCAAACACCTCAATCAACGGTGGTTGTTTACTTGGTGGGGTGACCTAAACCTTCATTCTGAAAGGGTCTGGGCCATGCATTCCTGTCCCAGTTGGGATGTTTCCACTGGCTTCAATCACAGGACATGGTAATAATAAGAGACACCCTAAGGGATCTCTTGTATTCCAGACATCCTCCTCCTTACCTCCATTGCAGAGATTGTAATTACAAAGAAGTAACCACAATCACCCTAGCCAGAATAGTGACTCCTTTCTTTGTCTGTTTTTCGTTGTTGTTGTTGTTGTTGTTTCTTTTCTTCCCCTTTCTTTCTTTCTTTCTTTCTCCCTTCTCTCTCTCTCTCTCTCTCTTTCTCTCTTTCTCTCTTTCTCTCTTTCTTTCTTTCTTTCTGATGCAGTTTCGCTCTTGTTCCCTAGGCTGAAGTGCAATGGCGTGATCTCAGCTCACCACAACCTCCGCCTCCCAGGTTCAAGCAATTCTCCTGACTCGCCTCCTGAGTAGCTGGGATTATAGGCACACGCCACCACGCCTGGCTAATTTTGTATTTTTAGTAGAGATGGGGTTTCTCCATGTTGGTCAGGCTGGTCTCAAGCTCCTGACCTCAGGTGATCCACCCACCTTGGCCTCCCAAAGTGCTGGGATTACAGGTGTAAGCCACAGTGCCCAGCCTCTTTGCCTGTTGATACAGAAGTCTGAGGACTCAATGTGGCCTGGTGGGACTCAAAACTTCCAGTTTGATGGAATCACTGTGTCTCCCAAGGAAGCATTCCTCCTTTTGGAACTAATACCTTGAGACCAGCAAAGCATAAAGTCATGGGGACAGGAAATAGATATTTTGATTCTACAGATGAGTAAGATTTTTGTAGGCTGACTCCTCTGTTTGCTCGTACGACCACCATGATCAACTA